CTGAAAGCGAAGGATTCGTCTCACTCAAAAAGGATATTTCCAAAGGGCAGATAATACGCAGTTCCTTTGTCAGTTTTTTCAGCCAGATGTGTCTTCTACACTAAGGTAGAGACTAAAAACCTCGTAAGCGCAAAGAGCTTAAATTCGAAACCAATTTCAAAATTCCTGCACGCGGAAGTCACCGTTCTTCGTCCGACATGATGGAAGGGACATGGCGGACAAATCGCATGCCACGGCCAACCCGTCAGGACTAATATTGTTCTTGTTTGGAGAAATAGCAGTTGTATACTACAAGATGGCAACCGCTTGATACACATTAACCTGTTTTTAGTATTTCAGTCCGTCTTTGTGAAGTCATGACTTTGCTTAAGGTAGATAAATAACGTCACCGAAATAATTAGCTGGTAGTTAGAACATCGACGACATGCTTCTGGTTTTAACCAGACCCTTCAAAACCAAGAACCTTCAACCCATTTTGACAAAAAAAAACTGCAAACTACTAAAAGTTTCCAGACCGCGAATTGAGAATTTGAACTCAAAACACCATTTTCAGCGTTTGTTGTGAAATCGCCCTCTCCAACCTCTTAGAGACGCTGTTCTCTGCACGGGATTATTCATACTACCTTCTGTTAGTGAGAATATTAGGATGTTAGATGTCGCTGCTTATTATCTCCAGGTTAACTAGTAGTTGCTTGGGAAAACTTGGAATCCCAGAACTCGGGGCAAGGCTGTTGGGAACCTTAAATTTGAAAGATAGGGGCAGAGGATTCTCTGAAATGGTTAGCAAATGGACTGGCCACAGTAACGTCCCCAGAATACATTCCATCCATGACGTCGTCAAGGCTGTTGTTACGAATAACACAGAAGCGTTTTCACGGCATCATAAGTTGACCGGTAGTTCAGACACACAGGTGCTAGAAATTATTATAGAACCTATCGAGCACGTGGCTTAATGGGAATAAGCGAATCATAGTCGAGCGACCAGGAGTTATTTACGCTAGTCTGAAGCACATATATTCGGGAATTTGCCAATTTTGACTTGTTTTTACTCAGAGCACTAAAATTATCCGGCCAAATCCCAAGCTGTAGGAGAATACAAAAGGTACCGGTGGAAGGGATTTATTGTATACAGAAGTCCGAGTTATTGTGCCAGACAGCAATGTGCACTAGCGAAGCCAGTGCTATTGTCAGTTTTGTCTAAAGAAAATACGATAGTGTTGTCAGCTGCTTTAATAAGTTTATGGAGGAAATTCAAGGGGTGTCCGCTGGGTTTGTGGGTTGTATTACCCGAGGCGTGTCGTGTTTAGTGGTCCATCCTGCACCGGCTGACGCACGTAAGATAGCTCCAGGCGTAAGCGCAGCCGTGAGTCAGCCCAGGTCAAGCCTGAGAGGTGATCATGTGTTAGGACATTTGTCACGGCCGTTGACAGAAAAGGGCACGACGGAGAAGGGGTCACTGGAGCGACTGCTACGGCCTTGGAGACATAACCACAACCTCAAAATTCGAGAGCAGCGAAGGAAATGCACCATGAAGCGTGAGCTTCGTAGGCGTCTGGCCGTGCGCATGTTTACATGGTCAGAATACTAAAAGGTGGTAAATCGGTGCTTGGATACGCGAAGATTGCATATGCAAACCCACAGATACGATAAAGCTCAGGGACCTCCTGTAATACAGGAAAATTGTTAATATTAGTTTTATTACCGAGGCAGACGGACTTGGCAATTAACGAAATTAGTTGAATGAACTCAGAAAATCCGCGTTTCTGTCACGTGCTGTTTTTCTTACTTTTTTTAACGGGGTGCCGGAGCAGACGGGGAAATAAGAGAGAGGTGGAGTAAGAGTGCGTAAACGGCCACAAAACGGTAGTCCTGGTAATTGCTTAAAGGCCGGCTAGAGAACGTAGGGCCAGTCTGTTAAGAAACGCCAGAACCAGACTATCCCAGCTGCGTTCCGGCTTCTCTACGCTGCTGAATTTAAATGCCGTCTCACCTCATGCTTCGACAACGTCACGGACAATTGTCCTGAGTGCCTCCTGCCTTCCCACACAACGTGCCACCTCTTCGATTGCCCGGCCAACCCTACGGACCTAACGCCTGAGAGCCTATGGCTTCGCACAGACAAAGTCGCTGAATTCCTTCATCTTTCTTGAAAATTTTATACCATGTATTTCTGGCAAACTAGGATAAGGGAGTAAGTTAGTACAACAACAACACAAAAAAGAAAGATATAGGCATGATCAATTTAACTGATGGCAATTTCGGGTCTTCTCATGTGTCTGACGTCATTTATTCGAAATATTTCTCCTAAGGAAAGAAAGGCCAATTTACTTTACACAATGGTGCCGAATTTGTTTTTTTTGCTCACTGCTCCGATTCTGTATTTAAAAGTGTCGTTCTGATTAATTTCGATCCGACCTTTTATTGCTGTGTGTTTTGGTCGAATCGAATTCGAAGCTCAACTATTTCTAACCCCTTTCAGTGCCAAACGGTATCATAATGGCAAAGTGTTAGTCATCTAATTCAACTATGGGACTCTGGACGGCTTCCCGACTATGCGGATCAGCGAAATTTTGCCTTGGCTTTGAGTAATCACCTCTTGTTTGATCTTGCTACAAGATAGGGGACAGGGAAACATAATTCGATTAGAAGCATGCAGGCAACCACGTAAAGGTCGCATGCCGTTACTCCAGGGACGCGCGTTGGAGACACGATAAGATAGCATGAGAATGGACGTGGCGTGGACAGGGACCAATCAATAATTGCCACCCCCTCC